CGTTATATTAACACAAATGTAGTAATGATTTTGTTTTATCTAGAATTGTTTATCAAAACGTTATATTAACACAAATGTAGTAATGATTTTGTTTTATCTAGAATTGTTTATCAAAACGTTATATTAACACAAATGTAGTAATGATTTTGTTTTGTCTAGAATTATTTATCAAAACGTTATATTAACACAAATGTAGTAATGATTTTGTTTTGTCAAGAATTGTTTATCAAAACATTATATTAACACAAATGTAGTAATGATTTTGTTTTATCTAGAATTGTTTATCAAAACATTATATTAACACAAACGTAATAATGATTTTGTTTTATCTAGAATTGTTTATCAAAACATTATATTAACACAAACGTAATAATGATTTTGTTTTGTCTAGAATTGTTTATCAAAACATTATATTAACACATGTAGTAATGATTTTGTTTTGTCTAGAATTGTTTATCAAAACGTTATATTAACACAAATGTAGTAATGATTTTGTTTTGTCTAGAATTGTTTATCAAAACATTATATTAACACAAATGTAGTAATAATTTTGTTTTATCTAGAATTATTTATCAAAATGTTATATTAACACAAATGTAATAATGATTTTGTTTTGTCTAGAATTGTTTATCAAAACATTAAATTAACACAAATGTAGTAATGATTTTGTTTTGTCTAGAATTATTTATCAAAACATTATATTAACACAAAGGTAATAATGATTTTGCTTTATCTAGAACTGTTTATCAAAACGTTATATTAACACAAATGTAGTACTGATTTTGTTTTGTCTAGAATTGTTTATCAAAACATTAAATTAACACAAATGTAATAATGATTTTGCTTTATCTAGAACTGTGAAAAGTATTTCTTAACCTCCAGTAACATACATCCTGGGCCAGAAATCCAAAACTTTCCTTAACCTCATTAATGCACACATTGTGGACCAAAATCCAATACATTTTGTTCCTCATTAACACATTATGAACCAAGGATCCACTACCTTTCTTAAAACTTGTTAAAACACATCCTGGACTTAGAATCCAATACATTTTTTAACCTTTATTAACACTTTATGAACCAAGGATCCACTACCTTTCTTAAAACTTGTTAAAACACATCCTGGACTTAGAATCCAATACATTTTTTAACCTTTATTAACACTTTATGAACCAAGGATCCACTACCTTTCTTAAAACTTGTTAAAACACATCCTGGACTTAGAATCCAATACATTTTTTAACCTTTATTAACACTTTATGAACCAAGGATCCACTACCTTTCCTAAAACTTGTTAAAACACATCCTGGACTTAGAATCCAATACATTTTTTAATTTTTATTAACACTTTATGGACCAAGGATCCACTACCTTTCCTAAAACTTGTTAAAACACATCCTGGACTAAGAATCCAATACATTTTTTAATTTTTATTAACACTTTATGGACCAAGAATCCAATATCTTCCTTAATTCTTTTAACCTTTTTTCATACAGACTGATACGTTTCATATCACCTTGACTGGGGAAAGACATTTATGCCAAAAACATAAGGTAGCACTAAGCATTCCTCACAAAACCTTGTAAGATTTTGTTAAAATTTATAAGTATTTTGTACACAAAGAATGACATTATTTTAATTACGTCTTTCTTATAAAAACATTATTTATCTATAGTTCTTATTTGTCCTCAAACTGCTGAGTTAGATAGAGTGCAAGGTGGTTTTCATTTTAAATATAAAAATACTTTTATTTATCTTATAGTTTTCATATTTTATTTGCTTAACTTCTAGAACCTCCTAAATGAATATCAAAAGTTTTTTTAAGGTTGATGTTTATATTTAATTTTCTCTACCTTATCCCTAACTCTAGCTGTTATCGTCAACGTACAATGAAATGATTAAAATTAGGAAATAGAAAAAATTTACATACCTTTTATTTTTTTGTAGATTTTGCTTTTGTTATATTCATAATTTCAGTTCTTTTTCCTTTTCACATGTAGTTAATATTTTATGTTTTAGTTTCCTTTTTTGTCCTTTACTATTTATTATTCATCTCGACACAAGTCAACAGTGCCCTCTAGGCATATTATAGTGTCTCTGGTAGAGATGTGCAACCCTTTGGCAAAATTCTCGTGCACTGTGTTATATCATAAACCTTAAAAAATGTTTAAACCTTTCAGTTATACATTTTAAAACACAATTAACTAATGCAGTTTAATTGTATCTCTAACTATAACATATGTAGCTAAGAAACAAGTGTAAGTGCTATAGTCAATCAAGCAACCAACAATACTACAGTTAGTTAGATGTACTCCATGATGACAGTTGCATGCCAATTTTAAAATAACCACTCATAGATTTTAGTGTAAAACGAGCCCTTTCTAATGACTATAAACATGCGCATGTAACCTCTATATGTAGGCTATAAACCTCAAACAAATCTGTTGAATGAGGGTGTGGCACCTGTCAGGGGTTGACAAAATGTATTACTTGTTACACTGCATTCATCTAGAGACATTTGAAATGTACGTGTCATAAGGTTAAGTAAGCATCTTATTGTCTAGATGTACATTTACACAACTGGTAATGTATTATTGAAGATACAGAGAGCCAAAATAGAAAATTTTCATAGGTCGTTGGTCATATGACAATAGACCTGAAGTTTTAAGTACTTTTTTAAAGGTTTATTTTCAAATAAAAGATTTAAAACTTGGATAAAATAAAACTTCAAATCATAACATACATTATAATATTAATTTCATTCACATACGTTGATAGTAAAGGTGTTGAATTAAATATTGAATGTAACTCAGTGACTTGGACAGTGTTTAAAGGGGTACAATGTGTCAACCATATGGAAAGGGTTAACACACATTCTGGATCGAGGATCCAATACCTTCTTTAATTCTTTTAACACACACATTCTGGATCGAGGATCCAATACCTTCTTTAATTCTTTTAA